ATGAGTATGAGTATGAGTATGAGTATTATTATGAGCATTGCTCTCATTACTGTTGTTATTGTTCTGATTACAATTATCATCATGTTCCTTATAGGAGTTTTAGGACGCGCCTCTTGCTCGAGGGCGCTGATCTCGGCCTCACGGCCCTCGATGTCGGCCGGGGTCACCTGGGCCAAAGCGCTGCCCCAACTTTGGAGCCGAGGACTCCTACATATATATATATATACATATATATATATATATATATATTTTTTATATATATATATATAGAAAAAAATATATATATATATATATAGATAGATATATAGATAGATATATATATATATATACATATTATATATGTTTTAGCCAAGCTTCGGGGTTGTACTCCTGCTGCTGGATGCTCGCCTCGAGCTCACTCATCGTCTTCTTGCAGTAGCACTTAAACTTGTCATAGAGGTCTTCTTCGTGTTTGCCCTCTTCTTCGATCTTCTTACCCATTTTCTCCATCATGGTGACTACCTTGCGGATGGGGTTTCCAGCATCCTCGGCGTCAATGCTGTTGAAGCTGCGAGACTTGTAGGCCACAGAGGACCCCAACAGGGCCAAGGCCACACTCAGTATTCGTCGGTACTGCATTGCAACTGATCTCAGCGGCGCAGAGCACTGCGAGGTCTAGTGGCGCTGACAACGTCGGGCCGCTGATGCTTGAGCCGGACGCGATGGATCGCAGCTTGAGACGATCGAAGCCCAAGCCGAGAAAACTCTCGCAACAAACCTATATTTCTCAAGACCACAGCACCCACTAAGAACGCGCAGGGCCTCTTTGCCAGTGCCGCAGCTGCCGGCGGGTGCCGCTCCAGGTCTGCTCCTCGTACTGCGGTCGCAAGGATGTTCGCGGCAGGCTCGGGAACTGCCAGAGGAACCTGCGACTGCGACATGCTAAACAGAGAATGAGAATACTGCACCCAAAAAGCAACCCTCAACGGCCATTTTCGGACCGTGTAGCCAATAGGACAGGTCGCGCCAGATGAAGCGCCGGAGGAATGTTGCGTTGGCCTTGGTGGCCTCGTCCCGACTTCCCTGGTAACTGGCGTGTCTTCCAACATACTCGTAACCGGGATTCTCGAAGAGCTTCTGATTGGTTCGCTCTCTGCGGCGCTTCGCTGCCCAGTACACCTTTCGAGCTGAGATCTCTCCGAAGCGGATGTACGGGGAGAGCTCGGATGTGTTCCGCTCGTGGCAGAGCAGTCGCTTCCGACCTTCGAAATCACCCGCAGCCAGTACGGAGTCCAGGAAGTGTGCAAGCCGCTCGTTCGCCGCAGCTTCACCAACCTTCCACCAGGACCTGTCACAATGACAGGGCGGCCACGTGGCTCGCTGGCAGCCGTCCGTCAAATGGACCAAGACTGAAACTTTGCGTCCTGATTCGGAATATTCTAAAGTGTTATATCAACTGCGGCTGTTTTTGCCCAACAGAAAACGCAACGCCAAATATATGTAAAGGAAACCCCACACATCACGGGCGGACCGATGACTCATGTGCATTCGTAGATGGCCATTCCTTGCCTGATGCCGGCAGCCCAATCGCCAGATTTGTGGCTGGCGCTCTGGCGAAAGTCCGGCGTGAAGCCTTGACCTGGTTAACACGTAGGAAATGCCAAACGAGCCAAACAACTCTCCCTTGTGCCACGCTGTCCAGATGTGAATAGTTTGCGCCTGAGGTCTCGCCCAGGCCCAAAGAATCCAAGTCCTCCGAGGCAACGCCCGGGCAGCGGGGCAGCCGGTCCACCGTGCCCAGGGGAAACGGAGGTGGACCCAGCTCCTCAGACCGGGACAAGGCACGAGAGGCAGGCAAGCGAAATATGGGCACTGGCTCCTCCAAGGCATGGGAGAAGAAGCGGTAGCTGCCAAAGCCGCTGATGTGCTCCTTCGCTCGATAGACTCACATCCGATTACCTCGCACTAAAGTGTCGGGCGCTCCAGCTGCTTGGGCTTGCCGCTGGCTGCCACCGAGTCTGCCGGAAGCCCCCGGGCCGCAGCCTCCTCTGCCCGGACCCTGGCCCGCCACCTCTGCCACCGTTCGATGGGTTGCAGATCCTCGAGTCCACAACTGTGAGACGTCTTTACAGAAAACAGCGAGTGAGGCGAGCGAGAGCGTACCCCGAGCTTCCTGCGGCTCGTAGAGGACGTTGCCCGGATAGCTCTCCACCTCGATGCCATAGGCACGAAGCCTGCTGGCAACCTGCCACACAATATCTCACGGAAGCCTAGAGTGGCTTTCGGGAAGCCCCACCTCCTGGTCTGAGCTTTGGTGCCAGGGCTCGCCACGGCGATTGAAAGAAAGCTGTACCCGAACCGTGGCGGTTGATCGCAGATCCTGGCAGGAGAAGCACTCTTGAAAGCTTCCAGTCTGTCTTACGAGCGATTTCGGATCTCAGGCTCTCTTGAAGCGAAGCGGGCCAGTTCCTGAGTCCCAACTTTTCAACCCCTCAAATCCCAGGCCCTCGAAGCCCCCGCTGGGCACCCTGAGCAGGCCCAGCTCGAGGAGCAGCCGGGGAATCTCCTGCAACAAACACACCCGTCAACGGAGAGTCCTGTTTGGAGCATGAGAGAAGCAGAACGTGCACAAACTGCGGCTTTTGGAAAGCAAGCAAGCAAGCAAGCAAGCAAGCAAGCAAGCAAGCACGCACGCAAGAATGGATGAAGAATGGATGCATGCATGCATGCATGAATGAATGCATGAATGAATGAATTAATGAATGAATGAACGAAGG